TACAATATTATAACGTCCATTTTACGATTTTTATCTTACCTTATGATTGGTCGTCTTAGACGACGTTTAGAAAACGTTTCAGAGGTCACAAGTATATAAGAGAACGACGGATTGACGTTATCAATTTAACGTTAAAACTGGTTTTCATTTATTACGTCAAAATTGAGCTAGATAAAGGTCCGATTTCTTGACCACATATTAAGGACGACGGCACGACGTAATTTTAACGAAAAATCATTGACGGACACTTATCCGCACTTCTGGCGACGTTGTATTTGGTTAATACGTAGTCGCAGGGACATGTATGTGCTACTTGGGGGGTTTTCAAAAATTGGCCTGTGTAATACTAACGGCTTCTCGAGTGCATTCTTAAGTTGTATAAATGCATTTTCAGCTTTAGGGTTCCAACTAAACACTTTTTTGCCTGTAAGTTTAGTGAGTGGTGCAGTAACTGTTGCAAAATTTGGAATATATTCTCTAAGCCAGTTAGCCGTACCAAGGAATGACTACAATTCTTTCATGGTAGTTGGTTTTTTAATTTTTTTTATACGAAGCAGATGATGTTCTTGTAGAGAATAGACCTCTTGCACCCAATCAAAATTAGGAATATAATTTATCTGTAACGAAAGTGTATTTTATATACTAAATAAAAGTATGGTTGGTTAATTTTTTTTTAAATCTTGATGCCAGAAATTGAAAGAAAAAAAAGCAGTATATTTGAATTTTGCACCATATATTTGCACCAATCAAAAATCACTGATTGCCGAATTTCCATTTTCCAAACGAATATTTTTTTTCTCTTTTTCAACACATCGAATAAAAAAAAGAGGCATACAGTGTCATTACTTAAGTGTGCAACATATGGGATTTTTTTTTAGTAATAGCACAATCAAAATACAAACAAGGCCAAAAGTTGGTGCATGTCTGATAATCATATTAGGTGCACTTAGAATGTTTCACTGAAAAAAAAAATAATTTGGTCCAAAGAAAAATGGAGTTCCCTTAAATAAATATTTGGTTGATAATGGACAAACAAATATTTGTTTAAAAAAAAATCTGAATTTGTTTGACCGTTTCCATTTCGTTTGCTTGAATTAAATTATTCTTAGTTTAGCTCAATATCAATCATTTTTACAAAATAAATAAATATTTAGTTCTAGTAAATAAATCATGCATTAGTTAGCTCATAGCAAATATTTAAATTAAATAAATATTTATTTAATGTAAATAAAACAAGTATTTGTTTCAACCTCTTTTATTTTGAACCAAATAAACAAATTGTTCCATTTAAAGCTTCATTTGTTCAATCTAATTATGTTTTTATTCTAGTTAAATCAATAAATTATTGTGAAGCTGCACAGGAGGGTCGTTCTCATTCAGACGTTCATCTTTATTCTCTTTTCCTGTCCCATCATCAATGTTTGGAATCTGATTCACTTCGATGGCACTTCTGAAAATTTTTGCAGGTGGTTCGTCTGATGCTCAGTTTTTGTGGTGGCAAGTATCGTACATTGAATTAAATCCGAAGTCTTACATTGGAGCAACTCGATATCTGTCGAACGGAAAATATTGCTGGTTGCTCTAATGTGAGACCTCTAATTTAAAAAAATGTAAAATACTTGCGTCCAATATTATTGCGAATTACCTATTGCTTGTTGCCTCAGTGTGAGAGGATGTTTGTCTGGTCCAGGTAGAAATAAGTCTTCAATAAAAATTATATCGGCCAAGGCGACGTATTTTTTTGTTCCTGGAGACACCATCTTGCTGAAATTTTTTGCATGATTTGGAATTAAACCTATTACGTAGGTATTATAATTTCAACTTACTGTGTATTAAAGGCCACAGATATTGCACACCCACTTCTGCCAAAAGATCTTCCATCTTGCGGAAACCACTCCGAAAAATAAAAATTCAAAGTAACACCATGAACAACAGGAAATAGCGAGCAGTGATGCACACAGCACAGTATTCGGAACTCGAGCATGCGCGTAAATTGCCAAATGTCTACAGAGATCCCAGTTATTTGAATTTTGGTCATGTTTATTTTGTAAAAATTCCAGAATATTTAATTTAAAGTAGATGTTATTTCGTTTAAAAAATCTGAATATATTAGATTTATGGCGTTCGTTCCAAATATATATTTATTTAATAATGTAACTCGTATCATTTTAAGAAGTCAAACAAATAATTTGAAAAAACCAAATACGCAGATTTATTTAAACCAAATACATTGTCGTTGGTTTAACTAATCATTATTTGGGTGAAATAAAAAAAATCAAATAAATATTTATTAGGCAAATTTTTCACTAATTTTTTCAGTGTTGCAAGTCAAACAGCATACAGGGTGGCTCAAAAAATATCAAAATTCTACTTATATTTACTTAAATAAAATAAAACATTTGCACTTTAAGGAGAGTTTTTTTTAATATAACTATTATCATCAGTAATGTTTTAACTTCTTAAAAAAAAAAAAATTGCGACATTTTGAAGTTGTGTTCAATATCATTGCAACAAACATGAATTTTGTGATTCCATTAAAAATTTAAAATCTAAGTTAATTTTACAAATATGCTTGAATTTGAACAAAGTTATGTAAAATTGATTTGATTTTAATTAATCTTTGAAAGTCTCAAGGGCGGAAATAAAAAATAAAAAAAATATAGAAATTATAGATTTTTTTCGAAAAAAAATAAAAAAAAATCTTAGGAGGCTATGTTTTGGTATTCAGGTATAACTTTTATTTCCAAACAACTTTTCTCTATAACATTTTGTTGAATTTTCTAAAATAAGGGTACTTTACAGTACCAGCTTTGATATTGTTGGAGCTACCCTGTATGCTGTTTGACTTGCAGCCATTCTAAGTGCACCTAATATGATTATCAGACATGCACCAACTTTTGGCCATGTTTGTATTTGGGTTGTGCTATTACTAAAAAAAATCCCCATATGTTGCACACTTAAAAAATCACACTGTACATATATATCAAAATCGCTTTGTGTATCGACTTTGGTTCAGCCCTATTTTTGGCTTGAAAGAGAAGAACGACATCTATTGAAGTATCGACTAGTATCGACAATTTTTTTTTCCTTTTCTAAATGCGAATTGGACAAAGAAATCGGTATCTGTACTAATCCGGCACAGTATAAAGTACGAAAACGATAAAATAGATTTTTGTTTACTATTAGGTCAGTGACCCCTGGCCAATTTACCTATCAATGGCTTTTACAAACCCTTTCTCCATTACATCACAAACCATAAACAAAATGAACAATAGTTAACAACAAAAAACAGCAGACTGGGGCAGTGTAATTTGAAGAAAAAAGAAGGTTTTTGCCCCGGTTTTTGCCTGTGTGAAAATGTGAAAAGTTAGTCTTTAGAGAAACTGGTAGGTATGGAATACAGACACATAAAAATTATACTCGTGTTTTGTTTCCCATAAACCATTTAAAAGAAAAATAACAATAATTTTAATAGGTAATTATTATTTATTTTGTTTGTGATGGGAATGGAAAAGGGTTTGTAAAAGCCGATTCCAGAAACTGGCCAGAGGTGAACATGAATATGCTTTCGGAAAAAAATTGACATGAATGGTAGGTAGGTAGGTATTAGTAAAATGCAGGTAGTTCCCCAAACAATGACTTCCTGCTTAATATGCTTATTGCGTAGAAACTTCTAAAAATTTAAACGAACACACTAGAAAATGAATAGGTATTTAATTATGAACGACAATGGCCTTATGTTTCTTGATGGTTTATGCGCCTTCACTGCCTTCTACCTGTTTTGGAGTTTTGGACAGGCTAATAAATAAAAATAAATAATGATTATAATGAATTAAAAAATTGAATTAAGTTTTTCATAGGAATGAGAATCGATTCCATATTCCGTCCGATACTTAAAAATCTGTGGAATCGATATGTCGATTTAGTTGTCCCCGCCAGGAAAAGTTTACATGAAAACCATAACATCCATCTGGGCAACACTGGATAAAGCTTACCAATCAGAAATTTGGTGCCGCGACGTCACGGCACCAAGAAATTTCAACTTCAAGTCGAAATTTAGAGCCTGTGCAAGTCTGAAAAAAATCAGAAAAAAATATAGTTGAGCTTAATTTTGACTCCTCTTTCCAATAAGTAAATAAAAAAAATTCATACAAGAAACCTATTGTTTGCACTTGAGATTTTGTAACCCAGATAATTTAATTCATTTACTCCAAAATTGCATTTTTTCAAAGAGCATCGAATGGTGTATTCTAAGTCTCTCCAAAACTAACCCAAGGTGAAACAAATGATCTTCGTGATTATTTGAATAGATAATTATATCATCTAAATATACTTTGACAAATCTGTCAATGTCACCTTCGAAAACTCAGTCATGAGTTTTTGAAATGTAGATGGAGCGTTCCTTAAACCGAACGGCATGACTAAAAATTCGTACATAGCACCATCCAAAAGCTGTAAATTTAGTACTTTCCGGTTCCATTGACACTTGCCAGTATCCACTTTTCAAATCCTATGATGAAAATATCTTTTATTGTATCTCTTATATGCGGTAACTGCGATACCATTGGCTCAGTTTGTTCATTTAGTTGACGGTAATCAGCACAAAACCGAGGTGAATCATCTTTATTTTTCCACAATCACAATTGGTGAACAAAAACTAGAATGACTTCTTTTGATTACATCTGCAGCTAACATTTTTCTTACCTCATTTGAATACTTTCTCTTTTCTTCTGGGAATATTGATAACGTCTGATCTTGAATGGTGTTTTGTCTGTAAGTGTTATTCTATGATCTACTAATTTTGTAGTTGGTTGTAGCAAACCTTCTTCAAAAATATCATGAAAATTATTCAATATGTTTTTGTACATGCTCATTGTCTTGTCTGTTGAATGAGTTAAATCGAAAGGAACATTTTGTTGATTTGGTTTTTGTTTTGTTTTTTCAGGATAAATATTCCAATATACTGTGAACCTGAATTGTTTTCCGAAGTAAATACAACCTTAAACAAAATCTAAAATTGCATTATGCATTTGGAACCAATCCCGTTCTAAAATAGCATCTTCTGACAATGAGTCTACTACATGAAATTTTGTGTCAAATATTTTTCCATCCAGTAAAATAGGCACAATTTGGAAAGCTGATGTTTTGAAAGTAACATCTTCTTTGGCTAATCTTACAGTTGTTATATTGTCCGTTGAATTATTACTTAGGCCAAAACGCTTATTTAGGAATGAATCGCTTGCTCCCATATCGAGTAAAGTCTTTATGATAGTGCCACCCACCACAGAATCTACAAGCTGAAGGAGGTCATGAATTTGGTGTACTTTTTATCCTTTTCTCTTCTGTTTCATTTATATCTTTGAGATCGTTTTTATGCAATACTGACACTTGAATTAATTCTTCAATGTTTGAAAAATCTCTTCCTCTCAAATTTATGCGTAAATCTGGATTCAATAATTCTAAAACTTTCATAACCATTATTTTCTCTTCTAAAGTTGGTTCAAGACGATAAAACAAGTTACGTTTGTTAGTTAAAAAGATTGACCTATCCTCATTTGTTTGCTTTTCGCCATATAATTTTTTATATAGAGAGGCCTTTAGAGAATCGTTATCGAATCTTTCAAAAAGTCTATTACAGAAAGAATCAAAACTTACGTCATGTAGTTCATACGCAGAGATCCATGATTGTGCTTCTCCCTCCAGATGATGCCCTGACTAGTTTGACATTCCTTTGGAACTTTATACTTTTCAAAATAGGATCTAAATTCCTGGACAAATTTTTTCGGACTCTACCAATCTAATCCTGAAAACACTGGTAGCTGGACAGGAGGTTGTCTTGTGAGCCTAATCTGTTTCCAAAGTTCAGAACTTATGGATGCCACATCCTGTAATATGTTCTCTGATAAATTCTGTTTTGAAGTTTCTCCATAAATCGAGGATTGTAGCGGTGCAGATCCTTCAGGGTTTTTATTTTGTGTTCGTACCATCGAGTTGGGCGCCATGTCGTCGTGGGGTTGTATTCGGGGTCATGATCGCTGTATGACCTGATGTAAACCCTTTTAGACATTGCGAAGTTTTACTCTTGTTTCGTAATAGTTGCGATAGTGGTGGAAATGCGGATTCCTCATTCATTCTCACTTTTAAACTTGAATAAAACCTGAGTTAAATTGATAGATTGAAATCTATTGACAACTTTTTGACAACAACATTAAAAGTGAGATGTCAGAGATTATTACTAATTACCTGTTATTGACCTGTAACAAAGGTGACTAATAACAGGCAAGTAGGTATCGCTCTGCGACAAGTGCTCCCATGCTAGTTGTTTTCGCCTCCTCTAAAATACTATTTTTCGTTCGTAGGTTAATCCGTAGGATCCTTCCTAGGTAGCGCTGGTAGTGTTTTTCTAAGTTTTTGATGTGTCTTCTGTAGGTGGTCCATGTTTCGCAGCATATGTAAGTGTTGGTATTCCAACTGCATTGTAGAAGCGAAGTTTGGTCTCAGCGATGTCATGGTTGTTGAAGACTTTCTCTAGAGGTCACCCAAACGCTGCGCTAGCACACTTCAAGCGATGTTGGATTTCATTCAGCGTCAATGGTTACTTTCGCTAATAGATGGCTCCCAAGGTATGGGTAGCGTTCTAGGTTCTGCAAAGAATGGTCATTTACAGTTATATTTGGGGCTTGAGGATTGGTATCCAGCGCGGGTTGGTGCAGAATCTGCATCTTGTTAAAATTCACCTCTAGGCCGGCTTGGTTGAATGCATTGATAATTGTCTAAAGATCTTCCTCTGTACTGGCCATCACGATGTTATCATCCGCATATTGAACTTCAATTATCGATGTCGTCGATACTTTTGTGTTTACTCGTAATTTGTTTAGGTTGAATAAGCAGCCATCAAAGCTGTACAGGATTTCCACTCCTGACGGCAGCTGCTCCTCGACAAGGTGAAGTATGGATCTCATAAATAGAGAAAATAGAGTGGGTACAATAACACAGCCCTGTTCAACGCCTGTATTTATTTGGAAAGACTCTTCTTGTCCATTGTTGGTTAGGGCGGTTGCATATTATCACGCATTTGGCAGAGTATCCATATGCACTTTTGTGGACACCCAACCTTTGCCAATATCTTCAGAAGAGCTTCTCAGTTGACCGAATCAAATGCTTTAACTAAATCTATGAAGGCCATTTATAGAGAGCAATTCTGTTCCCTGGATTTCTCCTGCAGTTGCCTTGCACTGAAACACTGAAAATCATGCCAGCTATACCTCGGTTTGGTCGAGACTACCAGGCATAAACCACGTAAAATCCTTTGTTAGTGGAATAAAATCACTGCTCTAACTCGCTGTTTTCTGAGGGTGGGTGATTCCGAGGTATAACCAGATGAAACCTATATCATATTGTAGAGGACACTTTGGGGCATAGGAAAGGGGAATGTACAACTTTTTTTAATAGGACTGAACTTTGAAATCGGCCCTTAAACGTGACTGAGCTCGAATTTGAAAAACTATGTTTTTCTGAACATTACCCGCTGTATTAATTTAAGCATACAATCTAAAATTCTGATTTTTTGCACACTCATACTTGAAACATGAGCGCTTCTTCGAAAAGGCTCAAGGTTTTTTTGTTAAAAAGTTAGGAATATAGAATTATCAAAATCGTGCATTTCAAACTTCACCCTGCGGCGAGCAATGTGTATTATTGAAAATTTCTATACATATTATATCGAATCAAATGTAGTTAAAACATTGACGAAGTTTTTTAAAAAAAAAATTAAGGCGCTAACTTTAACGGTTATAGAAATATGAATTTTTATCCAAGAGCCCTGGAGTGCGCTCAGCCCATCGTGAACGCGCGTCGCGGAATTATTCGTGCATTCACCGAGAGGTGCATTTTCTGACTATTCCAGTTTTGTGCGTTCGTATGCGAAAAACAGCTAAGTCTGATTTATTATCAAAGTTTGAACCATATTCAACAGTCGCTGCTCTTCGAACTGATATTAAACAAGGGTGTGACTAAAAAAAACAACTTAAGCTACTTAAATCAAGAAAAAAAATCTAAGATCTCCCGTGGAAACCGCAGTCTTTCATTCACCATACTATCCGAGAAAATTCTTCATGAAAATAAATTTTGCGGGAACTTGTGACGTCACACCGGCTAACCGCCGAAATCATAGCCTTCTGTTTGTTCAGTGGTTGAACCGTGCCCTATACTTTAAGTGGTTGCAATTTGCTTTAAGTGAGATCATTGACTTTTGTCTTGGAAAATTTTACACATATTTTAACTGTGCCTCCGAAGCCAGTGTGACGTCACAGTCTAGGCGTTTGTCACTTTGAATCACCCTTATACTCGAAAACACTTAATCGTAGCAAAATGCGGTTCAAATATTTGTTCTTAGATTTTTTCGTACTAAAACTTCATTTTTGGGTCACACCCCCTTCAATTCACTTATAATAGATGGCATGGTACTTATTCAAGGACTAAATGATAAAGCATTTTCAACTTAACTTTTAATGAACTCGCATGTATTTTTCTGAAGCAAATTCTTTCACTTGGTCGAAGGTATGAAGCACTGAGGATAACGGTGGTTTTTAATAGATGAATCGGTCAAGTCTTTGGAAAGACGCAGAAGAAGTAACTTCGCAAATACGTATGCGTATGAAGTTTCTGGAAAGGGAAAAGTGATGAAGTTTCGGAATTTTTTAAAATTGTCAGAAAATGAAGAATCCCTATTGAAATCTGTAACTGGTTATGTTTTGGAACATTTAGCTGACAAATAGAAGAAACTCTGATCATCGCTGGTGATTTTGAAAATCCAGAGTTATGCTTTTCTGTCAATAAGGATGGTGTAACCGTGTAACCGAATTGAAAGATTTGAAATCAAATCATGATGAGACTGATGCACGACTTATGATCCACGTCTTATATGAATATCAGATACTTCACCAAAAAAAGTGTCGGTGAAGTCTGCAGATGCAAATGTTCTGGTATTACTTATTTACCACTATTCTGAATATATTGAAGTAAGTTCTTTGAAAGAAACCTACCTTTTTATGGAATTAGGACAAGGGAATGCAGAAACTGGAATATGAAGTTTATAAATGTTTACCAGCGCTGCATGTGTCAACAGGATGCGATACCACAAATGCAAAGGCAAAAAATGTATTTTCTAAAAATCTTGGAACCTTATATTGCCACCAAATTTGCATTGGTCCTATTCAGAAATAAGATCGAGGCCCTAAAAACCCTCGATGAATTGAGATATCAATTTACCACAACTTCCAATAAATCCCCTTCTGAACTTCTTCCCACAGATGATGCATTTTACCAGCAAGTACTGAGCTAGGTGTATATATAACAAAAGAAGCTGTCTTTATGCGATAAACAAAATTTCAGGTGCATATATCAACTGCGTATATGGATATCCAGTCATATACCTATTATGTCTATACTTGACCCTGTTAACTTTCGTTGGACTAGGAATAATGGAATTTTTGAGCCTGTTTTGATGACTGCTGATCCCATACCAATGAATATGAAGCAACTAATGAATGTCTTCTGCAAAGATAAATTATGACAAAATAATAAATGTGTCTGCTTGAAAGAGGGTTCAACATGCTGCAGCGATTGTTCCTGCAAAAGTTGTCAAAATAATATTCCTGATTGACCTGATTTATCTGAGGATGACGAAGGAGAAAATATTTAAACTAACTTGATAAAAAAGGATTCAATCAATTACTTTATGTTTATAGATTTTTTTATTTTATTTCTAGATGCAACGCTAACGCACTAACGCAGATGATTTTCAGAATGGTAGCCGCTAGCCGCTTTCAGCATTAGAGCGCATTTCAAAGCTCCCGGATAAAAATTCATATTTCTATAACCGTTAAAGTTAGCGACTTAATTTTTTTTTCAAAAACTTTGACAATGTTTTTACTACATTTGATTCGATATATATGTATAGAAATTTTCAATAATTCACATTGCTAGCCGCAGGGTGAAGTTTTAGATGCACGATTTTGATAATTCTATATTCCTAACTTTTTAACAAAAAAACCTTAAACCTTTTCGAAATTTCTGAACCGTCATCAGTAGTGCTCATGTTTCAAGTATAAGTGTGCGAAAAATCAGAATTTTAGATTGTATGCTTTAATTAAAACAGCGGGTAATGTATAGAAAAACGTAGTTTTTCAAATTCGAGCTCAGTCACGTTTAAGGGCCGATTTCAAAGTTCAGTCCTACTAAAAAAAGT